AGACAAATATGATGTCAGTGGAGCAGCAAGCAAGAGCGGGGGTGTGTTGCAAGTCTGCGATTTGGCTGCAGCCCATCGTGAATGCAGTATGCATTACAGAGCAACAAGTGGTGAAAAGGCCAGCAGTGCCAAGGAAGGGTCACGATAAGTATTCTGGCTCTCCTTCCATCGCTGTGAGCGCTAATTTTTCCAACCAGATGACAAATGTTGAATCTCTGCCCCTCCCTTAACAGCTGAGACCTTGGTTGTTACAGCGAGGTTCAAATGAAAATGTTCCTACCACAGACATTTAATTCTAACCTCTGGTTAGAAGTGATGATGAGCAAAGAACTAGGCAAGGTTAGTGAAACTTGTTTCAATAAAAGTTTAATCTTTTTATTGCATTAATCAACTGATTAATATGCTTTAATCCGCTTCTGATTGAGCAGTGGGAACCGACACAGGACACTGTTTTTGCCAAAGCTTAAAATTAGAGAAACTTGGGACAGTTTAGGACATTATTTGAAGATGAGGTAGGGTGAAGGCAGAACACATGGTAACCACATGCACACATAATTAGCACTAATCTCACATTGGCTGTATTCTCATGTGCGCCTCTATCAGTGTTTACAAAGGTTTATGCTGCAGTGCACATATACAAAAAAAGCTCGTGTTTTTATTGCTCTGAAGCAAGCAGGGCTCAGTGGGAAAAGCTGATGTACTCACTTTCATGCTCCAAAATCATCAAATTCTGACAGCTGTAATGTTTATTCACCCTTTTTTGCTTCTTTATAAATTGATATTTCAAATTAAATAAATATTATAGAGAAGAGCGTCAGGCTCTGAAAACACTTATTAAACCCTGGACAGCTGAATTTAGCTGGGATTTCAGATGTCCTACTATTTCCCTGGAAAATGCCAGATGTTGTGGGTTTGCATCTTTTACACCTGGAAAAGCTTGGCTTCATCTCATATGGTTCAAAGCATGTTTCCAAAATTAAAGGGAATTCAAAGGCTTGATGTCACTGGCACCTGTTAAATGATGGGTTTGGAAATATGGCAAATATCTGTGCGGTTTTCTAAATAATTTTTAAAACCAGAACTTTCAATAATAACAATGAATAGAAATGATTTAATAGGAGCTGTTAAAATACAGATCTGCAATATCCTATCTGTTGCTCTGCACTTGACAGAAAGAGGCTTTATGCATTATTAAATGAAGTTATGTCAGTTAAGTGGAGCCACACAACCTTCTTATCATACTTCTGTCTAAGAACAAGCCTAAGCTGTGAGTAATGTTAAAAACAACATCAGCCCAATAGTCCCATTGCATCAAATGTTCTGAATTTGAGTGTGCTGCCATGCTGGCCTGTGAAACTTGTGACAGAGCCATGAAATCCCAATTTTATGGAAAGATTACAAAGTCTGTCTTTGTCTATTGATCACTTTAGAAAAATTAGTAAAACTACTCAGTTTTCAGTAGCTCTGGTACTTTAAAGGCTCCAGATTAAAGTTCATAAATTAACTGAGTCAGAAAAATTAGCAACTATTAATACTTACAAGTTGCTTAAAGTGATTCACACTATTAGCTTCCAGCTCTACAGATACAGCTTTATGTTTTTTTCTGTTTTATATTGTCATGCCAAAATATAATAAATAACAATATAACCACCAAATGCCATCGTGTATTATATATAATTGAATACATATTTTCCTCTTTTTTGTATAGTAAGCATGACTTTGAAAGTTAGCATGAAGCTGAAAGTTTTTACATAAGAGTTGTGTTAGATAGATGTGCAGGTATTTCTGCTGCAATCATGGTGTCAGACTCCTCAGAGCAGGTGTGTCACCCATCAAAGAAGAAACTGAAAATCTAAAAAGTTTCAACCACTTAACTGCATAGAAATTCCCAGATATGAGATGAATTAAGTATTTCTCACTATGATCTTCAATGACACAACCTTGCACTTTTTGAAAAGACTGAAAAGACTTTTTTCAGAGTCCAGTAATATCCTATTGAAACACAACAACTTAGTAGAAAATTGCTAGTTGGAGCAAGATTTGCTTCTATTACACGAACTGTCTACACAGCTCCGTAGCTGCATCCTTTTTGGTGTGACAATGGTAACCAAAGAGCAGATGTTTCTATCCAAATGTTCACCACAGAAATGCGTGTGCATCTTTGAGGTTGTTGATGTCCCTTGCCTACAACACCACACAAAAGCCGAGAACTTAATTACTTAGCCGAGCTGAGTAATCAAGTTCGTTCAAGGATTAATTTCTTTCAGGAAAACAGCAATTCCTCCAGTACATCGTGTGCCTTATACAAACCAGTGTTACAAAAAAGCTGTTTGTGAAGTTGTTTTTTAAGAAAACGACCACGTATCTACTCTGTAATTGTTAGGCAATCCTAAAATAGGAAGTTTAAAAAAAAAAGTTTGGACAGGATTCCAGTTGGGTCCATTTTGAAGCAACATTTGACTTCTGTCATCGCACAAAACTTTGTTTCTATTTGTCTTAGCACGTTTAATGTGATGCAGCTGTGCAGCACTAAAACATAACAGAAGCTCAACGAGAGCACACTATTCAGTCTTACTGAAACTCTTTCACAGATTTCTGCTATTTTATAGATGAAGCAAATATTGTGTGATCAACAAAAATAATCAATCAGTGGTGATCATTTGCTACTTCGCATTACAGGATTGTACATTGAATATGTTTGGTTTAGAACAGGTGGTCTGATAAAATAAGACATGCACAGATGCAAAATGTTTAGTGTATTTTTGTAATGATGTATGTGTTTTGAGACATTCCTTTAAGAAATGAATTATTACATTAGCACAGACCAGACCTAAGACAGCAAAGAAACCCGCTGACACTAGTCTGTCTGACCAAACTTCCTGAAAATTTAAGCACCAGTCTGCAGAAAAAGTAATGTCATAACAGTACTGTTCAACACGTATAGCTTATTCTTTGTTGACATTGGCTGTATGTATCAGCTTTATGTGATTGGAGTTAAATATTGAAAATACATATGTCAGGTTGCCAAATATGACACTATGCATAGATTAAATTCTTGGACCCAGGAACATGAAGACAACATTTCTCCCATTTATTTTTTTCACTCTCATTTAGATGTGATGTGCAACTACTGAAACTTTAATCCAGATCCAGAACTTCTAAATTGGGCCAAACATCGAATTAAGCTCTTTTTGAGTAATCCAACAAAGCAACAGACAAACAAAACAAGTCATGTAGCCTCATAGGTGGAGTTAATTCGCTTAACAAACATAGTTTAGCAAACAAAACCCAATGATCACATACCGCACTAATCCTGAACTACAGCACTGTGGTGCATTCAGCATATACAGTAAAACGTGTTTGGTGAACCGGTGACAGTTGTTGCTGCACAAAATGAGCTCTTCAACTGCATATTAGTGTGTAATGAGATTATCTCTTCCAGCAGCCACCGCACCCTGAGGTTAGGTTATCTCCATTTACAAAATTTCACAAGCCAACATCACGTGACCTCAACACTGCATGGCAACAGAACCCACATCTTATTCTCTGCCTCTGTCTGCTTCTAAGAAGAACAGGTACCAATATACACTTCATGCCTGTGTGCCTGATTTGCATGTCAAACTGTCTGACTAATAAACGTTCATTT